GAGGCAGAGGTAGTAGATGTCCCACCTGCCCACCGCGTCTGGCTCCTCTGTGCCGAGGTCGCTGCTCCCTGCGGCTGGCGCTGCGCGAGGGAATCTTGATAGGGGGAAGGCGAGGGAGTGAGGGAGGGAGGGAGGGAATGTGTATTTGGCCTCCATTACCTAGCTCCTCTCCTCATCCGCTGCCCTTTCGGCCCATGTGTTGACGTCATAGGTTGACACACGACACTTTTCTTTCTCTGCAAGATTAAGACATCTGTCCAACTGCCTACGGCAAGTCCCGCCACCGTGCCTGGGTTGTGGGTGATTAAGCCTCGTGGATCTTCGTTGGGATCTCGTGGGACTCCTTCTCGGAGGCCTCTAGGAGGTAGTTTTGAAGGCTCTTGGGGGCCTCTTGTGGGCCTCTTGGGGCCTCTTGGGCGCGTCTTGGGCCTCCTAGATGCCCCTTGGGGCGGAAGGGCGCTCTTAGGCCGTGTTGGGGCCCTCTTGGAGGCCTCTCGGGCCGTTTTGGGGTGGTCTTGGGGGCCTCCTGGGCCGTCGTTGAGCGTCGGGAATCCGAAAAGGCGAGAACGCCAGAACCTGTCAAACACGCAAGGCAAGTCAATGATTTTTGCCTTTGGGGGCCCTCTTGGGAGACCTTTTGGAGGCCTCTTGGGGCTCCTTGGAAGCCTCTGGCGCCAGCCATTTAGGGCGTCTTCGAGCGATCGTTTGGCGACTCGGGGCCCTGTTGGGCCGTCATGGAAGCCTTGGAGAACCCCAGGGAGGTGCCATGGCCGCCCAGGGACCCCCCGGAAGTATGGCCGGTGGATTACAAAACCTACCAGACAGCAGACAGCACTTGACATTCTAGCACGCCCCCTTTTCCTCCCTCTGGTCTCATTTGTGCTGGCACGAGTGGGGCCTTTCGAAGACATCCGAGAAGTCAAGGAGGGCGGGAGGGATGGATATGGAAGGACACACAGCCCGCTAGTGCTTGTTACGACTTGTGACTTCTGTATTGCCGAGTATCACTGAGTGGAGTAGGAAAAGGAAGAGGAGAAGCACCAGAGTAAGTCCAGGATGCGCCAACGATGCTGAGATACACCCTCCCGTCCCAAAGTCCCCTCCTCGTAAGTCTTTGCATGCATACCTGCTCACTGCGGGAATTTCTCCATGAAAAACGAGAGCCCAATTTGCCTGCCATTCAGGGCGTAGCCTGGGCTTGAAAAGGAGCTGTGTCAGTTGAGATAGAATGATTGTGCATGGGTTGGGTTATACAGATCAAGGAAGTGTCCAAGGACAGCCCCGTTTGAAATGGAAATGACATCCAACCGTGTAGCTGCTTTACGACTTGACATATCTGGGCTTTATGAAGTCGCAAGCGTGATCTCCATTTTGAAACGGAGCCGCCTTCCATCCGTGCAGCTATTTCGCAACTTCACTATTCTGAAACAATATTAAGCGAAACCCACTTTGAAATAGAGCCGCCCTGCATCCTTACAACTGTTGGAGAACTTTCGAGACACATGTGCGCGGCGATGACGCGAGAGCCAGAGTTGAAAACGAGTCGCACTCAGTCCTTGCAGCTGTCGGGAGCTTTTAAGACGAATGTGCGAGGCGCTACGGCGAGAGCCGTATTCTAGAAACCATTCGCCCTCCGTGCTTGCAGTTGCTGGGCTCTTGCACGGCGAATGCGCGCGGCGCCAAGGCGATAATCAGATTTTGGAATCGACCCGCCTTGCATCTGTGCAGCTGCCGGACACTGCGAGCTTCAGGGTAGTAAGCGGTGGGGAAGTCTCAGGCGAAACGCCTGGCCCGCCAGGGGGAGATCGGGTGAGGGAGGAAGGGTTTTGGAGGTTTTGGTGGGCCGTGAGAGGTTCTAGGGGCTTCTGAGTTGTTGTGATGTGGTTGTCTTTTTAATCTATTGCAGAGCAAAAAGCACGTTATTGCTAGCCGTCCCTACTCATTGCTGTCTGCATGCCTTTGCTGCCCCGCGTACGCAGGCAAGTAGCTGACACGTCACATGTCTACTCGTCTCACCTCCGTTCTGAAATGGGCCAGCTCATGTAGCTAAGGACATTATGCAGGCTGTAGCTTCTGATCCATGAGGTGGACCGTACCCTTGCGTAGCTTGCCTGGGATCATTTGTTCGACGCGACTCCACTCCAGCCAGAAAGCGCGCGCACTGGCCTCGCGGTCGTTAGGTCCCAAAGTTGTAGAATAGCTTCGTCGAGCCACGGCCCGACACTCGTCCTGGACAGGATCTGGCGCGGTACGCTGAGAAACAGTCATCGTTGCCACACTCGCCATGGTAGCTCGTCGCACAGCCAAATTTCCATCAGAATTTGCTTCAGGGTCTCTTGCCGAGGACAAGTCTCAGTGGGGCGCAGGCACAGATTCTGCCTACTGGCTGCAACATCGCAGATAGCGAGACACCGCTGACGGTGGAAGTCGCCGGATCAATGGTCGAAGTTGTCCGCAACGATTACCGTAAGCATTTTTGAAGACTGTTCTTGGGCGACCTGAAGCAGAGAGGACCAGAAAATTTGGCGCACAGGACTTCATGTGCGTGGTTGAAGCATCCCTTCTTGCAATCGGCGATGAAGAATAAGGAGTCCTAGCTCTTGTGTGTCTCAAGCTGTTCGACGCCGTGATATCGCCGACGGTTCTGTACAGATTCCCAGCGTGACCTCAAGCCATCTGGACACATTATTTATCAGAAGAAGATGATGACTCGCATGGTCGGCTGGGTGCGCATGGACGACGAATCATAGGAGGAAACGGGCAACCGCATGAAGGGCCCTCTCAGCGCTGCTTTGCTCAAGTGTCCCGTCGCTGCTTGGAGCGAGATGCGCAATCGAGGTCGGAAGATCATCCTCGTCAGTCTGGTCTCTGGGAGCTCGCCACAATTAGCTTGCGCAGCTCACAGTTTGGAGCCAGCTCAATCGGGCGAAACACACCAAGGGTATGACCCCTACAGGGCCAGAGGAAGGCTTCGGCAACGATGGAGCGATTCAAAAGATGGCAGCAATACTAGCATTGATTGTGTTCCTCCCCTTTCCCCTTCTCTCCCCTCCCTTCCCCTCTCCCTCTCCCCCCCAGGACAAACAAGCGTGAGCACGGTGGCACTCGCGTACTTCTGAGTGGCAAGAACTGGTTTTTCTAGGCGCAATCGAGGGATTGGTGGCCTGCCACTGCTGCTCTAATGCGAGTTAACTTCCATGCTTTTCCTTCTGTCTACTAGCCTGTAGGAGGACACGGCCTTCGCGCCGATCGGGAGTAGCGTAGCGTAGCGCTTTCCGGGTCGGTGGTGTCATCCTTGTCGATCTGATTTGCGTGCGCTTCTTCATCCATGCAGCGTCGCCGCCACCACTCCTGGATCACCGTAGCCGCTTCGTGGCGCAGCTCGCGATGCAGGCTGTGTGGGTCGCTGAAGACGTCCTGGGAGGTATGCATCCAGAAACATCACGTGGGATCGCACGCAAACTCGACCGGCCACAGTCGGCAGGCTCTTCAGAATGGGCAGCCTGCGGCACACATTCCGAAGCCGTCGCCCTCAGGATTGATGCTGCTTCGCCTTCCAAGCCAGCCAAAACCGCATCTGCATGAGACTTGTACTTTCCGTTGCTGAAGTAACTGTCTGAAGCGTAATCCAGGTAGCCACCACATAGGTCCCAAGATTGCATTGGCCCACACAATACAGCCAAGCGTCGATAGTTTCCAGGAGGTCCAACACTGTCTGCTCGAATGTGCACTTGTTCACGGCACAATGTGACTTACCGTTCGATGTAGTGGTCGCCGTGAGGGTTGTCAGCAGCTGCTGATGCCGTCGTCGCTGCCTTGGACGCGATAGCTTCACTGGCGATTGAAAGCCGTGATCAGCACTACCATGACCAGCTGAACACACACGAGATCGCACATCAGTGGAGGCGACAGCTTCGGGTGGGACTCGTGGCTGCGACATTGTGCTAAAGCTGAATACTTGCGCCAAGGTGGCTTATTCGATTCAACATGGCTTGAACCAACACGTTTCTTTTCCCGGTTCGCCCCGCGCGCGGAGGATGTGAGGGGTGGTGGGTTGGTGTGTGTTGGGGGGGGGGGTAGTAGGGGGAGGGAGATAACATGAATAAGAAAATAATGATGGCGATGGTGATGGTGATGATGTTGATGTTGATTATGAAGATGTGGATGACGAATATGATGCTCGCGATGATGATGGTGTTGATGACGATTGTGGTGGTTCTAGTGATGGTGGTGATGATGGTAATGCTGATGATGCTGCTGCTGATGATGGTGATGGTGATGGTAATGGTGATGGTTATGCTGCTGATGGAGATGGTGATGATGATGATGATGTTGTTGATGATGATGATGATGCTGATAATGTTGTTGGTGATGATGATGCAGATGATGGTGATGATGATGATGATGGTGGTGATGATGATGCTGATGATGCTGCTGATGCTGCTGATGATGATGCAGATGCTGATTCTGACTATGATGCGGATGATGAGTATAAAAGGTCCTGCTGTTGCTGCGGTGGTTTATGTTGATGGTGGTGGTGGTGATGCTGATGATGATGTTGTTGCTGCTGCTGCTGATGATGCTTCTGATGAGTATGTTGATGCTGATGAGTGAAGATGATGTTGATGGTGCGGGTGCTGACCTTAATGTTGCTGATGATGTTCTTGATGATGATGTTGACGATGCTGCTGCTGCTGCTGCTGCTGATACTGCTGATTCTGTTGATGCTGCTGCTGCTGAGGAGGAGGATGAGGAGAAGGGGGGGGATAGAAGGAGGATGAGGAGGCAACGGGGAGGGGAAGGGAGGAGGGCAAGGGAGGATATTTGGGGGAGAAAGGACGAGGAGAAGGAGGAGGAGGAGGAGGAGGAGGAGGAGGAGGAGGAGGAGGAGGAGGAGGAGGAGGAGAGGAGGACGGGGCAGACCAGGCCAGTGAGCGGTCGCCACGCCGCCCCTCAAAGCAGCAGCTCGCCCGCCCCGCGCGAGCGCGGGAGCCGTCCAGGAGCGCCTGGGGCCTGGCGGGCTCATGAACTACCGGGTCTTTTCCGCAGGCTCGAACCAGGCGGGTGGGGGAGATCGTCAGCATGAAGGAAAAGCGCTGAGATCGGGGGTGTCGCATTTTTTCACGCGGAGCGTCCCGCTTGGTTTCGGGCGGGACCATTGCGAGTTGATCCCAGAAAGATGGTGCCGAGGGCCCTGGCCGTGGCGTTTCATTCATGTTGCGATTTTGCGCGGCATCGGATCTCAGGGAAGGGTTCTGGAGGAAAGGCTCCTGGGGGGCAGTTTGCGAGCCTCAGGGCCGTCAGACATAGAACTGGGGAGAAACGTTGCACTCTGGTGAGGGGTCGATATATCTAGGGCCCGCGGATCGAAAACTCAATCCATCGGCCGTCTGGGATTCGGGTTCGAGGATCGAGGTTTGTAGACATTCTTGGTCCTTTTCGGGCCTTGGGCGGTTGCAGGGGCTCCCCACAGGCTTTGGGTCCAGCCGCCGACCCCGAGCGGCGCCGATTCCGTGGCGGACGCGCGCAGTTTAGAATGCCTCGCGCCAGTCCAGGCGTGAGGCGTGAGGCCCAGGAGGTTGCGCGAGCCCTGCGCGCCAGTGTCGCGGCGTGCCCGCACACGAACGCAGTACCGTCTAGAGCGAACTTTGCTACGGTCAGGAGCTTTGGCTTTGCGTGTCGCTCCGCCGGACCTGGCCCACCGCGCCTCGGCGCGGCACGCCATCCACGTCCCAGTCCCCGAGCGTCGACGTTCCGAGCTGTTCCCAGCCTCTCGCCCCGCGGAGCGGAGCGACACGCCATCAGCTCGCAGGGCGAAGCGTGTCGCTGTGGCCGCCTCCGCGACGCGCTAAGCAACAGTTTATTACCCTCACCCTAAACACCCTCGATCTCTCGCATCCCCCCTGGTCTGGACGGTCGCGCGGTGCCACGACAAGTTTTGCCCCTTCCGCTCGGTCTGTCAGGCGCGGCGTTTTCGTGACGCCGACCGCCATTCCCGCCGCCGCGCGCCACCAGAGTTGGGGCTGTCGCGAGGCTGCCGCGGCGTGCTCCTCGTCCTCCTCCTCCTTTTCCTCCTACTCCTCCTCCTCCTCCTGACCCACTCCCTCTTTCTCCTTCTCCTTCTTCCTCCCCCCGTCGACCCTCCACCTCCCTCCCTGCCTCCTCCCGCACTTCACGAGCGGCGAACACATCCAGGATCCGTATCCACGCTCTCGCGGCCTAGATGCCGGGGCGCGATCCCGCGGGTACGCGGTCGCAAGGACACGTTGCCCGTGGGGCATCCGCCAACAAACGCACCCCGTATCTGCGGGGTCGCGGCCCAGGGGCCCGGCCCGCGAGGCCGTGGATGCGGTCATGTTCTTCTCCCACGAGCCCCCCCCCCGCTCATGTGAACCAAGCAAGGACGGATCCACGTGCAGTCGGCGCTGGCTTTCGAAGTGGATTTTTCCGTTGTGAGGTGACCACGCCAAAGGGTCACCAGTACCAGCTGCTCCTCATGCAGGCGCGTGCGGGGTCGCAGCGGCCGCGCCGATCGCGAATTCCTCGCTATCTTCGCTATGCTCCCCGCCCTCCCGCTTTCCCCGCCTCCCTGCACTCCCCGCCCTCCCTGCCCCTCGCCTTCCCCGCCCTCCTCACCCTCCCTGCCCTCCCTGCTCGCTATCCTCGCTCGCTATCCTCGCTATTCTCCCCGCCCTCTCCGCCCCGGCCCCGCCCCCCCTGGCCTCGCCCCTCGGCAGCCCCACCGTCCCCCGCCGAGGGGGGCGAGCAGGCGGACCTCTCGCAGGTCGCGACCGACCTGCTGATGCTCGAGGCGCGCGGGGCGGCCGCCGCGGACGCGCGCGTGCGCGCCCGAATTCCTGCCGTGATGCGGCTCTCGCCGTAGCGCCGCGTGCATTCGTTTTGGAAATCATCCTGGCGAAGGACCCAACCATATGCAGCTGTGCGTACCGCAAGTGTGAGTATCTTCTTCGGTATCGACCCTTAAGGGGCCACGAAACGCATGAGGGCTGTGCCGGGGCCTTCGGTGGAGCTCCCTGTGGGGCCACGAAACGTGTAAGGGGTGTACCGACATTGGTGCTGTGGGCGCATTGGAACGCTGCCACTGGGGCCTTCGGTGGCGCTCCCTGTGGGGCCACGAAGCGTGTGAGCGGTGTGCCGAAATCTGTGCGGTGGGCGCATGCGAACGCAGCCACTGGGGCCTTCGGTGGAGCTCCCTGTGGGGCCACGAGACGTGTGAGAAGTGTGCCGAAATGGGTGCGGTGGGCGCATGCGAACGCAGCCACTGGGGCCTTCGGTGGAGCTCCCTGTGGGACCACGAAACGTGTGAGGGGTGTTCCGAAATGTGTGCGGTGGGCGCATGTGCACGCAGCCACTGGGGCCTTCGGTGGGGCTCCCTGTGGGGCCACGAAACGCGTGAGGGGTGTGCCGAAATTGGTGCGGTGGGCGCATGCGAACGCAGCCAGTGTGGCCTTCGGTGGAGCTCCCAGTGGGTCCACGAAACGTATGAGGGGTGTGCCGAAATGGGTGCGGTGGGCGCATGCGAACGCAGCCAGTGTGGCCTTCGGTGGAGCTCCTTGTGGGGCCACGAAACGTGTGAGGGGTGTGCCGACATGGGTGCGGTGGGCGCATGCGAACGCAGCCACTGTGGCCTTCGGTGGAGCTCCCTGTGGGGCCACGAAACGTGAGAGGGGTGTGCCGAAATGCGTGCGGTGGGCGCATGCGAACGCAGCCACTGGGGCCTTCGGTGGAGCTCCCTGTGGGGCCACGAGACGTGTGAGAAGTGTGCCGAAATGGGTGCGGTGGGCGCATGCGAACGCAGCCACTGGGGCCTGCGGAGGGGTTCCCTGTGGGGTCCGGAAACGTGTCAGCTGTGTGCCGAAATGGGTGCGGTGGGCGCATGCGAACGCAGCCACTGGGGCCTTCGGTGGAGCTCCCTGTGGGGCCACGAAACGTGTGAGGGTGTGCCGAAGTGGGTGCTGTGGGCGCATGCGAACGCAGCCACTGGGGCTTTCGGTGGGGCTCCCTGTGGGGTCCCGAAACGTGTCAGGTGTGTGCCGAAATGGGTGCGGTGGGCGCATGCGAACGCAGCCACTGGGGCCTTCGGTGGAGCTCCCTGTGGGGCCACGGAGCATGTGAAGGGTGTGCCGGAATGGGTGCGGTGGGCGCATGCGAACGCAGCCAGTGTGGCCTTCGGTGGAGCTCCCTGTGGGGCCACGAAACGTGTGAGGGGTGTGCCGAAGTGGGTGCTGTGGGCACATGCGAACGCAGCCACTGGGGCCTTCGGTGGGGTTCCCTGTGGGGTCCCGAAACGTGTCAGGTGTGTGCCGTCATGAGTGCGGTGGGCGCATGCGAACGCAGCCACTGGGGCCTTCAGTGGGGCTCCCCGTGGGCCACGAAACGTGTGAGGGGTGTGCCGACATGGGTGCGGTGGGCACATGCGAACGCAGCCGCTGGGGCCTTCGGTGGAGCTCCCTGTGTGGCCACGAAACGTGTGAGGAGTGTACCGAAATGGGTGCGGTGGGCGCATGCGAACGCAGCCACTGAGGCCTTCGGTGGAGCTCCCTGTGGGGCCACGAACCGTGTGAGGGGTGTGCCGAACTGATGATGATGGTGATGATGATGATGACGATAATGATGGTGACGGTGTTGCTGATGATGGGGGTGCTGATGATGGGGAGAGGGAGGGGGGCAGCGGGAGGAAGGACGCGGGCGCTGTCTGTCCAGCACGAGGACCCACCACCACAGGATGGTTGGGAAGTAGACAAATTTTCACGGATTCAGGGCGGACCGTTTTCAAAAGGTGGCTCTCGCCCTAGCGCTGCGCACATTCATTTTGAAATGTTGCAAGATTTTCGCGGATTGAGGGCGATTCCTTTTCAAAATGTGGCTTTCGCCTCAGCGCCGCGTACATTAGTTTTTCAACTTTTCAAGAGTTTCACGGACTCCCATGACCAACGTGCCAGACATGGTGTTTGGGAAGGAGTCAGGATTATGAGGGTGCAACAGTTCTGTTGGTTCGCGGTGTTGAAGTCCCAGGAATTGAACAGTCAGGTTGATCCATGGTGCTGGAATCCCGCGAAGCATGTTTTGGCGTGCTTCAGGGTCTTCAAACGGTTGTCTTTCAACGAGACAGTTCCTTCAATGGAAATGAACCGTTCTAGGGGCCTATGAGGGGGGAGCTTGACATGATGCTTTATTCCAACATCGTTGATGGGATGGTTCTCCTCATCCTCTTCTTCCTTCCCCCTCTTCCTAAGAGGTTTGAAGGGAGGGTGGGTTTACACTGGTCCTCCTCCTCCTCTTCCTCCTCCTCCTCTTCCTCCCCCTCCCCTCCCCCTTCCCCCTCCCCGTTCCCCCTCCCCCTCCTCCTCCTCCTCGCCCTCCCCTCCTTGTCCCCCTCACCTTTTTTTTCTCGCTCCTCCTTCCTTTGTTTCTGTTCCTCCTCCTCCTCCTCCTCCTCCTCCTCCCCCTCCTCCTCCTCCTCCTCCTCCTCCTCCTCCTCCCCCTCCTTCTCGTCTACAAGTGCACACCATGAATACTACTCTCCTCTCTTCCCTGATGACGTCCGGCAGATGTCGGGCCCCCTCCGCGTAGTGTTTTTTCACACAGGATTCCCGGGAGTTGGGTTTTCGCTTTCTTTCGTGTTATATAGATATAACAACTTTTCTCTCACAAAATGTTGATCCCGCTGCAGCGTTGGCCTCATTTCCGCGCTTCCGCTCGTTCCGAATCGTGCTCCCGCTGCAGCGCTGACCTCATTTCCACTCTTCCCCTCGTTCCGAATCGTGCTCCCGCTGCAGCGCTGGCGTCATTATTTCAAGTGCCATGCCGCTGTGCGATGCCATGCCTTCAGCTGCAATGATAGGATATGCAGTGCTTGACTACACAGTGCCACCCCATGCTATGCCATATTACGCTTTGATCTTCAACGCCATGCTATGCCATGTTCTGTTCAGTGCCGCTGTGCGATGCCATTCTTTGCATTGCAATGCCTTGTGCACAACACCACGCCATGCTATGACATACTACGCGCTGCCGTGCTCTTCTTTGCCCTGCTATGCCGTGCTCTACGATGCATCGCGCACTCTCTCGGGAGTATTGCCCTGCTCGACATCCGACTGTGCGAATCGAGAGGATACCTACGCCATGGTAAGGGATGGGAGGGAGGGTAGGACCTCCTCCTCCTCCTCCGCCTCCTCCTCCTCCGCCTCCCCCTCCTCCTCCCCCCGCCTCCTCCTCCTCCTCCTTCAGCGGGGCGTGGTGGGGGTTCGGCCCGCTCGCCCGCCGAGCGGGCCGTGGCGCCGTGGTTTGGGGGGGGGGGTCGCAAGGGGGGAGGGGCAGTCCTGCCCTCAGGACAGCCTGGAGGAGCGGCGAAGGAGGCCACTGGCCACGCAGAAGGTTTTCTGTTGGGTCCCCCTTTCCCCCTCGTCCGCAGCGGAGGAGGTGAGGGCCGAAGGGCAAGGCGAAGGGGGATAAAGGGGGAGCGTGATAAGGAGGACAAGAGAGGGGGGCTTCTTTGTGTGACCGAGATAGTTTCTGTGAGCGCCTAAGGACGAAGCCCGAACGGGAAAAGGGTGGCAGGCACGGTGCGGTTTCTTGGCCGCGAGATGGTGGCTGGTAGCACGCAGCTCGTAGTGATCCCAGCCTCAAATGACATTGTGCCTCTTTGTCACCTTTGCTATCCATAAGGTGTTTCCTTCGGATCGACCTCTCCATGCCCACGGTGGGATCTGGAACGCCCGGTGCTGGTACTGCGCTGCGCATGTACTCCCAGTGGGGCCCTTCAAAGTGTACCGCAACGGGAGCACAGTGACAAGCGCACGCCTCCCCACCGATTTTGCTGAACAGTTTACCCTTACATGTTACAATGCTGTGCCCCTGCTTATCGGCATCTTCGAGCCTACATATGTGTTAACGCGATGCGAGGCACATCAGCACGAACGCCTGCCAACTTCGATGTTGTCGCAATGCACGATCAACGACCGTTAGCGGTAGCTGGACGTTACTAAGATCGAAGACTTGTGCTAAAGCGTTCCAGTTTGCTGGTCACTCGCGAGTGTTTGGAGGTCTTCATGCTTATTTTCAACCCACCACGCCCAATTCCCGAATTATTGTTTGTACCCGGAGGGTCCTCGTGGATGTTGAAAGGATGTCGTGAAAGTGCACCAGGCACAGCCGATTTTTCTGTGCGACTAGGTTTCCGGTTCTGGATTCCAGGATTTCTGGCAGCGGCCAGGTTACCAGTGTTTCGAGAGATTCGAGAGATGGTACATCGAGTATCGCGCAGGGTGAAGAGGCGAGAGTAGAGAGTGGTTGGTGAGTGGAGGGTTGCGGGTGAGTATGTGGGGCACGGGTACAGACGAGAGTAGAACACACCTTGCTCGTCATATCTTTTGCTCGTACCCGCTGCTAACACGATGTCTTCAAATCTTCAGTCGGAGACAACGATCGGCTTTCTACGTAGTGTAGCGAGCATCAGCACGCACTTGACCAGCTGCTCACATATGCGATGGTATCCGCTGGATCTGCGGGCGCCCGGTATCAAGATCCAAATGATTCATGCCAGCCTTGACAATAATGCCGACCGCTGGCCAGGGCCGCGGACCAGTCGTAGAATGCTCGTAGATCATGTCACGTATTTTTCGTAGATTCGAAATGTTTTTTTGGGTAATTTTGCAGTCGATCTCCTACTCGAACCCTGGACCGCGCGTTTCCCCAGGTGCGCGGGCTGTGGCTGATGGGGCGCCAGAGCCGCCACTATACGTGCGTGGGCACCATGTTCAGCGCCACGTCGTGCTACTGCGTGCCCGCGACCCGCGGCGGTCCTCGCGGATGAGTGGTGACCAGAGGCGCAAGACAGAGGATGCGGAAGAGGAGGGGGATGAGGAAACGGTTGAAGATATGAGGATGAGTAAGATGATTTTGAATACACAGATGACGATCGGACGACGGCGATGACGACGACGGCGACGACGATGATGATGCTGCTGATGATGATGCTGCTGCTTGTGCTGATGCTGCTGCTGATGATGGTGATGATGATGGTGATAGCGATGGTTATGGTGATGGTGATGTGATGATGAGGATGAGGAGAAGGGAAAGCCACAATGAGGATGAGGAGATTGAGAAAATCCTAGACGCTTCGCGTAACCCTACCAGCTGCTCTAGCTTGCTCCCGTTGTCAATTAGTAGGCCCGCGCCCCGGACTTACGACTCGCCGCTTGCGCTCTCGCCTGCGGCCGCGACCCCAAAAAACGTAACCCCACCAGACCATCCAGAAAGTTTCTGGATGGGCTGGACGATGCCCAGAGGAGTTGTCTCGACCAGGGAAGTGGGCAGCACGCAGAGGAAGGGTCCCCCCAGTGGAGGCCTCTTGGAGCGTCCTGGGGGCCTCTTGGCGGTCTCGGAGGCCTCTTCGAGCGTCTTGGGTGCCTCGGCGAGCTTCTCGGGGCCTCTTGGGGGTCTCCTGGGAGCCTCGTGGATGTCTCTTGGGCCTCCTAGGCGCCTCTTGGGGCCTTCTTGAAGCGCTCTTCTTGGGAACCTTGGGAGCGCTCTTGGGGCCATCTTGGAGAACATCGATCAAACAAGTGGGGAGCTTTAAATAGCCTCGCCCCCAGAGGCCACAATGGGGCCAAAACCATTGTAACACTAATGGTTTTGGCTTCCTCGCCGAGGCAGTTTTGGACGCTCCAACGCGTCGCGGCCCCCCCGTCCAGGTCCAGGGGGGGGGGGGGGTAGGGGGAGGGGTCAAGACTCCCTCCCCGCCCGCAAGCCGTCTCGCTCACCCCCACCCGCCCTCCCAACACATACGTGACACCCGAATCTGGCCCGAGCGTCAGCATATTCAGCAGTCGTCTTTGGATGGGCAGCTACTGGGGGCCAATCCGCCGCCGCTGCCGCCGCCTCCGCCGCCGCCGCCGCCGCCGCCGCCGCCGCCGCCACTGCGCCGCCGCCGCCGCCGCCGCGCCGCCGCGCCGCCGCCGCCGCCGCCGCCGCCGCCGCCGACCGCCGCCGCCGCTGCCGCCGCTGCCGCCGCCGCCCCCGCTGCCAAATCGCCGCCGCCGCAAGCCGCCGCCGCCGCGCCGCCAACGCCACCGCCGCCGCCACCGCCGCAGTCGCCGCAGCCGCCGCCACCGCCGCCACCGCCGCAGCCGCCGCAGCCGCCGCCACCGCCGCAGCCGCCGCAGCCGCCGCCGCCGCCGCAGCCGCCGCAGCCGCCGCCGCCGCCGCCGCCAAGTGTATTCTGTGATGGTAGGGGGAGGCCGCATCGGGTTGGCTGCGCATGTTCCGAATTTGGAGGCATTTTTTTGAGTTCTAGGGAAAAACGTTTTTTTGTTTTTAAAATAAAAAAAAGGATGGTGGGGGGGGGCCCTCATGGTTCCAGGTTGGCTACCAATCGCCTGGGGGAGTGGGTGCTTATTAATAGGGAGCAGTGATGAACGCCTCCCCGAAGGGGAAGAAGGGGGTTGGAAGAGGAAGTCCCCTAGACCACCTACGCCCAGAGGGCTGGTGGGATTAAGGATGAGGGTTTGGAGGCAGGGGGAACTGGGAGGGACCAGCAGGAAAGGGAGGAAGTCGAGAAATACAAATGATAGGGTTGACGAGGGAGAGGAAACATGAACCTGGCGCGATGCTGATCTGGGGAACGCTTCCTAGTGGGCATTGCTTGGTATTGCTTGGCATTGTACACCGTTTTTTGGCATTGCTTGGTATTGCTTGGCATTGCTTTGCATTGCTTGGCGTTGCTTGGCGTTGCTTGGGATTGCTATGCGTGGCTCGGCATAGCTCGGCGATGGTTGGCATTACTTGGCGTTGGTTGGCGTTTCTTGTGTGAGTCGGCGTTGCTTGGCGTTGCTTGGCATTGTTTGGTTCAGCTAGGAAGCAATGCCAAGCATCCCGAAAAGTGCAGTAAGGAAAGAAGGCCTCTTCAAAGCAGTAAGGGAGCACTTAGCAACCCGAGGAAGGCCTCTTCACATGCAGAGAGGAAGCACGACCTAGCTACCCGAGGAAGGCCATTTCGAAACCAGCAGTGAGGCAGGACCAAGCAGCCCGAGGAAGGCCTGTCTGCGCAGGCCCCGCACCAACCAGTGTGTCAAAACACAAAGTACCTTTCGGCAAATCTCATTTGGAAAAACGGAAGTGAGGATGGGGAGGGTTGAGGATGAGGAGAAGGATTTGAAACAACATGTGGTGACCATCATGATGATGATGGGGATAATGGGGATAAGGGGGAGGAACATGAAGAAGTGTGCGAGAATGAGAGAACTGCACGGTGTTGGAGGAGGAGCACAACGAGCAAGGAGCTACGAGCAAGGAACACCACGGGCAAGGAGCTACGAGCAAGGAGGTGGGGGAGGAAGAACCCTAGGAAACACGTTGAGGAAAACGAGCAAAGAGGACGCGGCAAGGGATGGTGAGGTTAAGGATGCTGAGGAGCAGGCGGAGGAAACATTCAGTCATTCCGCGTAGTGAGGATGAGCGACTTTCCAGGGACCCCCCACCCAAGAGCGGTGCAGCAATGGGTCCAGCGTCGAGACCCTCCAAACGATCTTGTTTGACCAGGCCCGTTCGACCCCCCACAAAAGTAGACCTCTCCCATTACTATGAGCTCCAGAGTGCCCAAGACATGCAAAGACGAACACCACCCCTGCTTCTTTCCCCCCTCCACGGTGCTCGCTTCCGAGGTACATGGATCCTTGGTTCGCTGCGGGAGCCTCTGCGACTGGTCGAGCTTGTTGCACACTCAGGGTCGCCGTTCTCGAATCCAGCATTGGGGGGCTCCCGATTGTACCGCGTAGTCAGTGTTCATTCTTCCGCCGGCGTTAATACAGTTTTTTTTTTTTTTTTTTTTTTTGTGTGTGTGTGTGTGTGTGTTTGTGTGTGTGTGTGTATGTATGTGTGTGTGTGTGTGTGCGTGTGGCTGTAATTCCCTTTTTCGGTATCATGTGCTGAGCGCCCACCGTTGCGGCTGAGGTATTTGACCTGTTCGCGCGTTGCTATTCCTCGCGCCCTCCTCGTCCTTTGCACGGGCGTGCCTGGTTCGCTCCCGAGCGTACGTTGGGCTCAGCTTTGTCCCTTTCGACCAGTTGAGCTTGCCCGTTTTCCGTCTATCGGAATTGTTTGTAGCCAATATTTGTGCAGTTGGCATTGGACATTTCTGTGTAGCCGTGCTTGCTGAGCGTTTCGGTGGCCCGCGAACGCGAAATATAGGGAGAGAAAGGGAGAGAGAGAGAGAGAGAGCGAGAGAGAAAGGGTGAGAGAGAGAACCAGAGAGAGAGAGAGAGAGAGATAGAGAGCTTGGCGAGGGACATCTATGACTATGACCCTCGCGCGTGTACACACACGCACACTCTCTCTCTCCCTCTCTCTCTTCCTCACCGCCGCGAGCTCCGTCGGATGGGCGAGCTCTGTCGACTGGGCGAGCTTCGTCGGATGGGCTCGTGCACGCTCGTGTGTGGGTGTGCGCGTGCTGGTGCTGCCTCGCGGGAAAGAAGCTTCGAAGGGAGAGGTCGAGACGGAGGCACGCCCCGCGGAGGTACTTTTCGCGCTCGGCCTCTACGACGTCGTGCGGTCTCTCCTCGGCCTTCTCTCGTCCTCGGCTGGTCCAGCGGACGGCTCCTCCGTCGCCCCCCTTCGCCCCGCGAGCCTAATCTCGCCCAGGCTCACCTCTCCTCGACCCTCCATCTTCTGGTGGCTCGTCTTGCGGCCGCGCCTCTCCGTCGTCCTCAGTGGCCACACGTGCCTGAGCTCACCCACCTTCACCTCTCCTCGGCCGTCCCGTCAGGAAACTCTTGGCGCTTCGCGAATCCCCAGCAACCCATGCAGCAACGGCTTTTGTGGGCACGCTGTCGGGAGTAGGGGAGTGAAGGAGCAGTGGTTCGGGCGATCGAATCTGGTATTGAAAGAGTGGGTACAACACCGACAGCAGTTCCTGTTCATTTTGAGCAGGACTCGTTGTCGGTGTCGCCGCGGATTGTGTCCGTTTAAGACAGAAGCCCGCCCGCCTGCCCAACAGCGGCCGCTGTTGGCTTGGGACAACACCTGTTGGTGGGCATTGTGCCCGTTTTTTCCGGACCCATTTCGGGCGTCCAGGGTGGTGAAGCACAGACGGGCCGCGCTGGCCGGAGGAGGATCAGCCCAGGCAGAGATGTGCCAACCGGAGGCCCTCCGAAAGCCGCCTGGAGGCCCTCTGGGCCCCAGGGGCGCCGGGCCGCGGGAGACGGCTCGGCCTCCAACGGCGGGCGCTCCCCAGGAACGCCGGCTGCCAGCCGTATCTGCTCTCTCGGCGACGCGCCCGCGCTACTCGTCCGACCCTCCACTTCAGCAGTGGCGCTGTTCCAGGCTCCTTCCCCTCGTCCTCGCTCTCGAGGCGGACCTGTGCACAGGCCCCACCCCCCGCCCAGTGCCCCAGCGGCCTCCCCGGGGTGCGTGCGTGCGTGCTGTGTGGCTGCAGGTCCTCCGCGCGCCAGGGGGAGGGATCTGTGCACCATGCCCTGTCCGTGGGAGGTCGTCGGCGTCCCATGGCAGACGGGGTCGGCGTGTGAACTTCCCTTTAGGGTCTGGTCCGTTTCCTCCTCTTCTTCCTCCTCCTCACCCTCCCCGTATCCCTGTGATCCTTATCGCTCTCCTCCTCCCCCCTTCCTCAACGTGGTCGCTCTCGTCGCAGTTCGAGGAGGCGAGGCGCGCCGCCGTGCTGAGCGTCACCGGCCTCTCTCTGGTGCTGGTCGTGGGCATCGACGCGTTCTTCTCCATCGTGAACGGGCGCCCTCCCGATGCCCCACGCTGCTGGCACGAACCGGTCAGAATCGTTTCGAAGATCGGATGGGCCATCGGTGCCATGGGAAACGGGATGGGGGCGGCGGCCAGGCAGGGTGCACGGGACAGGGGAAGCCAACCGAAGACAAGGGAGCCAGAGGGAGGCCTCGCGGGCATGCGGAGGAGCCGTGGCGGAGAGCCGCGCTGACGGCCTGGTGTCAAGAGGCTGTCCCGGGGCTCCTGCGCGTGTGGCGGCGCGGACCAGCGCCAGGGTGACGGAAGCGGCGCGGCGTCGCCGCCGCCGCCGTCGTCTTCGTCCTCCGCGGGTCTTCTACGCCGCCGTCGTAGGACCTCCTCTCCGACGCGGGAGGTGCTGGAAGGGCGGGGTGGGGGTGGGGGTTGGACCTCGCGAGGGGCCGCCCAGGACCGCTCCTTCTCCTCGCTCGCTCGCTCGCTACCCAAAGGCTAGAGCTCCAAACCTAAGATCAGGAAAAGGGCGAATAGTAGGGGAGGCAAGACATAGTTCCTCCTCCTCCTCCTCCTCCTCCTCCTCCTCCTCCTCCTCCTCCTCCTCCCGTGCGCCCCTCTCGAACTTTTCGCGTCGGGCAAGCTTAAGCGTCTTGATTGGAGCGTTCTCCCCCCCCACTCCCCCCCTCCTCCTCCTCCTCCTCCTCTTCCTCCTCCTCCAAGCCCCCGCACACTAAGTCTGAGTGGATGGGGTGAGAGGATCGCGCCGCATCGCCGATACATCGGCGATGCCGCTCGGTGTGGATCCCGATTTTCTCCACGCCGACGGCGCCGACGCATCGCCGACGTCGGCGATGCATCGCTGATGCATCGCTGGTGCGGCATGGTCCTCCCACCCCATCTACTCGGCAAGTGCCTCGGGAGGAAATGTGCAGCTCAGGTTGCTATCAGCACCAGCCGGAGACCAGAAGCCACGGGCCTTGTAAGCCACGGGCCTTGTCGAACCGGTTCCGAGGCGAAACGCTCGCGGGGACTCGTGCGAGAGCGCTCGATCATCAAAGGGGGTCGTTGCATAGGGGGGCGCGCGCTGCCGTCGCCGCTGTGTCCTGGCCTGCGCCCCTGCCCGCTGCTCGTCTCCGCATCCCCGTCTTATGTCCTCCTGCTCGCTCTCCTGACGGGTCCGCATTTTCTTCGTCCCGGGTCCCCTCCGGGATCATCTTCGTGCATTCCCACCGTTCCTCCAGTCTCCTTATACTTCCTTACTCTTCATGATGCCGATGGTTTTGCCCCCACCCGCGGTGAGATACTGTTACACGGTGGAGATCGTTGTGGCGGTCGTGATGACCACATTGGTAGGCGAGGGTGGGAACGGCAATAGGCGAAGAGGCACGTTGAAAGGGAATCATGATGGAGGAGAAGTGATGACCTGGCCGTTCTCCGGACATGCACAGGTGATACTACAGTTGGTGGTTGTGCCAGTCGTCGTCTCACAGTGCCGAGAGCGCGCAGACCTTTTCGAGTCGAGATTTGGGAAGTCTGGATGGTTTTTGCCCACGAAGTCAGATGAGCAGAAAGAGGTGCACATCGATATAATTCAGAATCTCCTGTCGCTCCAGGTCGAATACCCACATAGCTGCCAGGTCCTGGCTCGCCCCATTTGCGAACCGATTGATTGTGCTCGTCGTACTGCCCCTCGATTGGTGATTATTCTGTTTTCGGTCGCGCGTCATCGGGGGCGAACAGTGACGCAAAAAGGGGTGCGCCCAGGGTGCCCCATGTGGGATGCGTTTCCCGGGGCCTCGTGATGAGCAGGCCTCTATTTTCTATGACGGCTGCGCCGTGCTTCTTCCTCTGCCCCTCCGTCTGCCCCCCCATCATCCTCATCAGCATCATCATCAACATCATCATCATCGTCGTCGTCATCAACAAGGAGGAGGAGGAGGAGGAGGAGGAGGAGGCGGAGGGAGCGGAGGAGGAGGAGGAGGGGGGGAGGAGGGAGGGAGGAGGAGGAGGAGGAGGAGGGGGGAGGAGGGGGGGAGGAGGAGGAGGAGAGGAGGAGAGAGGAAGGAGGGACAGGAGGTGCATCCCCTTCCGCACAGTAAGCCCCCGCCCGTTCTCAGAGTGCGCACTGGCATGCCCCTGGGCGTCCCTCCTCCCCTCCTCCTCCTCCTCCTCCTCCTCCGCCTCCTCCTCCGCCTCCTCCTCCTCCTCCTCTCCCTCCTCCTCCGCCTCCTCCTCCTCCTCCTCCTCCTCCTCCTCCTCCTCCTCCTCCTCCTCCTCCTCCTCCTCAGAGTTGGTGTCCATAGCGGCAAACCCCTGATGCGTTTCCTGCTCCGCAGGGAGCCTCAGCTACTGCCCCAGTGGGCCCGTTCGCGGGCTGGCCCAGCTTCATTTACGACCCCGTGTGAGGCCGCTGGGTGAGCTGCGGGCTCGTCGGCGAACTGAGCCGGTCTGGGAAGAGCGCGGCCCGCGGTGGCCACGAGCGGCAACGTGGAAAATCGTCGCCGGACCCCGCCAATTCTTTAGCGAGACAAGTGAGAACACCCAAGCGCAAGCACTGTTAGGAGAATAGAGGGCGGGTGCCTGAATTTCACGGCATCTGGCATTACTTGTTCCCATTCCGGCCCCAGTAGGCGCGTTCTCATCGTGGGCCAGTTCCCAGTGTTCAGAATAGCGCAGCGACCAGTCACTTCTTACTCCATGGTCATCCCCGACTACTGCCACAATGGACGCGTTCGCAGAGGCGGGCACCTGGAACGGCACATTAGTCACGCAACTCAGACCTGTTGGCCTCAATTGGCACATTCGCGTTCTTGGTGTGTACCCCGAATTGCACAAACTTCGCGCATTCTTTCTCCACAGCAAGCGCCTACCATCGCCGCAGTTGGCACGTTCGCAGCTTTGGCTACCATCCAAGTGGTACTCTCCAGGTGCATGATTCATCGCATGGGGAGCCCCGACTCAGTCCTCATTGATGGCATTCGCATATCTTGCCCGTGCATGATTGCCAGCCGCTCGTACATTTAGCTCGTCTGACGTCTGGAGGATTCCCGAACACTGTCCCAGTGCGCGCGGCCACATCCCCAGTCGGTCCACCGCCGCGCTTGGTTCTCCTCCCACCGTCGTCGCCGTCGGCGTCGTCGTTGTCGACGTCGTCGATGCCGTCGTCGGCGTGGTCGTGATCGTGGTGCGTGTTGCTGTGCTCGAGACTTGTACCACCACCACTCCTCGTCCTCGCTCGGTCCTCCTCCTCCTCCTCCTCCTCCACGTTCTGTCCGCCTGCTCCACGCTTAGTCCTCCTCCAGTCTCGGTCCTCCTCCGCCACGCTCGGTCCTCCCTTCTCCTCCCCTACCTCGCCTATCCCTCCCTCCCTCCTCTCTCCTTCTCCCTCTGTCTCTCCCTCCTCCCTCCTCCTCCCTCCTCCCTCCCTTCTCCCATTTCTCCTTCCTCCCTCCTTGCTTCTCTCTTTCCATTTTCCCCCCCTCCCTCCCTCCCCCCTCCCTCCCTCCCTTCCCCCCTTCCTCCCTTCCTCCCTTCCTCCTTCGTCCTCCTTCGCCCTCCTGCCTTCCGCGCTCCTCCCTCCCGCTCCCCGCGCCTGGGAGAGGTCTACGGCAGCCCCGTGGTGGCCGCGGCGGCTTCGAGCTGGACCAGCGACCGAGAGCCGGGGCCTCGGGCACCGGCCAACCGCGCAGCAGAGGTCCTCGGGCGTCTCGTCCCGGGGGGGGGGGGGGGCCCTCCTCCCATCTCCTCCTCGTCCTCCTCCTCCTCCTCCTCCTCCCCGTCCTCGCCTCCTCACCCCCCTCCTCACCCCCCTCCTCAGCCCCTCCCCCTTTTTTATGAGGGGGAGGGGCTGAGGAGGGCGCGATCGATGAGGGGGCCCAGGGGGGGGGCAGCAAGGGCTGCAGGGGAGGGGCCCTGCAGGGCGCAGGGCCCCTGTTGGGGCCCTTTCGGGCCCAGAGGTGGGGGGGGGGCCTGCAGGCCCCGAGAAGTGCACCTCTCCTCCCCCCCATCGAGCGACGCCCAAAAGGCCATCGGGAGCCTCGAGAGGCGGACGTCAGTGCAGACGGGGGTCCGCCGGAGCTCGGGATCTCTCGTAGGACCCTGCAGCACCACGGCTGCATGGACCCGGGTCGGCGCGCGGGGTCCTGCAAATCAGGAGGGGAAAAAACACACAGACACCATTAATCGTCGACTCCCCAGAAAATATAGGAAAATATGGGAAGTGGGGGGGAAGACAAAAACCCAGAAAATATGGGAAAATATGGGGAATTCATTTATTTGTGTGTATTTATTTGTGTGTCCCAGTTTCCCTTCAGCAAAGCCTGGCTGACCTGGGTTTGCATTGGCATTGGCCCCGTTCAGTCGATCCCCGAAAGCCGCACAGCAGAGGTCAGTGTTGCCTTGCGTGTGGCCGAAGAGCGTCCCGGGCCCCCCGAAGAGACTCGCATCGTGCCCAGACATCCAGCGTCTCGAACAAGTCGAGACGAGGGTTTTTTATCGTTTTCGGTCCCTCAGGGCCATTACCCGGCATCGGTGCCGTCAAACAACGACGCCAGATGAGAAGCTGGTCCCGGGAATGTGGTCGGGAGGTCGGGGGCCCGTGTCTCGAAACAGTCGAGGCGCCGGATGTCTGGGTGGGTCGGAGGGGAGGGGTTCGAAGAAAGACCCCCGCCTCTTAGAAGACGTGGAGCGTGCGTGCTGGCGTCGAGGTACTGGCCCCTCCCGGAAGCCACCTCCCTTCACAGGAGGCCGTCCCGCTTGTCTTGCCCCACCGCTTCCCGTCTCAGCCGTCTCGCGGGACTAACACTTGACTTCAGACTTCTGTGTCCGGGGGGAGCCGTATTATGAATGCATTTTTTTTCTAGTTCTCTCTCTCTCTCTTTCCTCCTCCATTTTTTTTCCTTACAAATTGCTCTTCCCTGTCGCACGCCGAGGCTGGTCGGAAGGGCGGACCGGGCGTTTCGCTTGAGATTTCGCTACCATTTACACTCCTGAAGCTCAAATCTTGGCAGCAGTTTCGCAGATGGAGGGCGGGTCGCTTCCAACATGTGGCTCTCGCCTTAGCACCGTGCACATTCGCTTTAACATTCGCAAGGGTTTCACGGTTCGAGTGCGGATGGTTTCAAAACGTGGCTCTCGCTTTTCCGCCGCGCACATTCGTCTTAACACACTGCATGCGTTTCAAGGATTGAGGGCGGTTTCTTTTCAGCATGTGGCTCTTGCATTAACGCCGCGTAGAGTCGATTAAACAAATTACCAAAGTTTCACGGATTCCCATGGTTAACGTACCAGAAATGGCGTTGTTAATGTCCCAGGGATGGGTTAATTGGCACGATTCAGGATCATCAAGACGCAATCGTCAGGTTCGTTTGAGGCGTTGAAGTCCAGAGGAAGGTGTTTCGGGACGCTTCAGGGTATTGGAACGGTTGTTTCCCGACGGGGCACATCCCTCAGTGGAAGTGAATCCTTGTAGGGACCTGTGAAGAGGGAGCTTGGAGGGAGGCTTAATTCCAACATCGTTGATGAGTCTTGGGTTCGCACTGGTCCTCCTCCTTCCCGCCCACGCCCCGGACGGCGTATGGCTTCGTGTGTGTGTGTGTGTGGTCGCTCTCCAGCCTGGCCGCCCCCGTCGAAAAACGTTCCGCGTCGAGAGACCTGTCCTGGGCACGGAGTCGAGAGCTCCACGGGTCGGGTGCCAGATGTGAGCTTGGCACGAGGCGCCCCCGGCTCTTCAAGGGGGCCCAGGTGGCCTCCAGAGTAGTGGCCCTGGAGGTTCCAACCCTCGCAGGCGACTTCTCGAGCCCTATCCCCGAGTTCTGCCGGAATCATTCGGCCGTTCAGAATAGGGGGAAACTCGGGGATAGATCATTGGGGGGCTATTCTAGACGCTTCGCTTAACCTCACCAGCCCATCCAGAAACGAAGCCGAGGCGAGTTGCTCTGATCAGGCATTTGGGTGAGCACGCTGTGGAGTAAAGGCTGGGAAGCCGTCATACCCCAAGAAGGGGAGGATAGAGGAGGAACCGGAGGAGGAGGAGGAGGAGGGGGAGGAGGAGGAGGGAGGAGAGAGAAGGTAGGATGGAGGAGGAGGATTAGGCGGAAAAGGAAGAGGAAGATGAGGAGGGCGAACAGGAAGGCCAGAGGCCTCTTGGATGCTTCTCGGAGTCTCTTCAGATGTTTCTCGATAGCTTCTTGTAGGCCTGTTGTGGCTTCTTGGGGTTGGGGGCCTCTTGGCGGCCCCAGGGGCCTCCCGAAGCGTCTTTGATGCCTCGGGGCGGCCTCTTGGCTCTTGGGGCCTCTTGGAGGTAGCCTCTTGGGGGCCTCTGAGGGCCCCCTGGGCGCCTCTCGGGGCCCTCTTGGAGCACTCTCGGGAGCTTCGGGGGCATCTTGGGACCATCTTGGAGGTGATCGATCAAAGAAGGGAGAGTGTTTGATTAGGCCTCCCCCCAGGAGACCAGAATTGGCCCAACAGAGTAAAATCAATGATTTTGGTCTTCTCGCCGAGACCATCTTGGACGCTCCAACGACCCGTCGTCCCTCCCGTCCAGGTCCAGGGGGAGGGGTAGGGGGAGGGGCAAACCCCTCCAGAAAGGGGAAGAAGGGGGTTGGAAGACGAACCCCCTAAATCGCTCACGCCCTAAAGGACCAGTGGGATTCGGACGCGCTTGTACGGAGGATGGGCGCCACCCCTTCGTATATCCCTGAGTTGGGCTTCAATTGCTGGTTCATTCGGAAAACCCACACAGTCGGGGATTGGGGTCGCCTTTCCCTCCGTTAAACCTGACGCGAAGAGTGGGGGTGCCCTGGGCCAGGATCACCTCCAGCCACCTTCGAAGGGTCCCGCGCCGTGAACGGATGTACTCAGCAGCCCCCGTCTCCCCAACCCAACGCCCATCTACTTGGCAGCTTCCGTCTCCAGCACAGCACCCATGTGCTCGACGCCATTCGTGTCCAGCACGACACCCGTGTACACTGTACAGCCCCCCGCTGCAAGACAGCAGCCTCAGGAGTCGTAATAGAAGCCGATCTGGCGCGTCTCTCGCGCGCCGCGCCCTCGTGTCATCGTCTGCTCTCGCCTTCCTGTGCGACGCGGTGCTTGCTTCGAAGGCACCCCGTGTCGGTCAGATCCTGGGACTGATCGGCGTGGGCCGGCGAGCGCCGTGGAGTCCCCCCCCCATTCGCTGGGGAAGCCGGGAAGCCGGGAAGCCTGCTCCCTGGCGGTGGCGCAGGTGGTTCCGCTGCGCCACCTGCTGGGAGAGGGGCTCACACTTGTTCAGGAGCGACGAAAGGAGGACGTACACGTGCATGAATTCACGTTGGTTTCGAAAGTACGCGTTTCGCGAACGTTCGTATCACGAGGTTGGTCTCGCGGACTGGGGTACCGTATTCATGTACGTGGCTGGGCGCGTACGTCTTTTGTGGGCTCACACTTATCGCTCTCACCCGTTGATGCCCTGTCGCGCATGCGCCGGTCCGACCATTCGGTTGCAACCGTTGTGGAATGTTTTTCTTCCAGGAGAGCTCCCGAGTTTCTTCCCTCCTTCATTTGCAGGTGGCCGCATGAGAAAGGCCCGCTCAGGGCTTTCTTGAGATTCTGTCGTGCAGCCTGTCTAGACTTCTTAGACGCCTTCTCGCAGTCAATTTCCTGTTTTTGTTTCGAGCCGCAGGAGCTCAAATGAGGCGTCTGCGCCAGCTCTTCGAAGCTTTCGTCGAGTTGTAGCTATTAGGAAGTGCCGCCAGCAAATGTGCACGATACATTGCTGCTGCTGTCAGATGGGGTGTCCAGGTGCGGAAACCGTACTGTTCGCACGGGCAGCGTTGTAGCGGAAATGCCTTCTGTGAGCAAGAGTCACTGAGGCCAGACATCATGCAGGCGTCCGAGGCGGCTGCCGTTTTCGATGGTATGTATTGGTGCTACATTGAAAAGCAAATCTCTCCTGTGCTGAGCGATGCACTTCATGCTGCACTGGCCAGCAGAGGTGGCGATGGTTACGAGGAAACGGGGCGCGTGCACGCAAGGTCGAGAGCCGAGGGGTATTCTGCACCTGTGGGTGCATCGTGGACGTCATCGTGTATGGGGATACCATAGCATTCGCCATGCACGTTTGACATAATCGTTTGGCGTATCGCGCGCAAGCACGTGTAACTCGTATCGAAGACGCCTACGGCGAATCACCGCCGCCCCCTGCCTTTTTGGAAGCGCCTAGGTGGCCGAACGTTGAGGCCAGACCTGCCAAGCTATCGGACCACGTGTTCCCCGAATCGGTTTGGAAAGCCTTCGGGGAACACGTGGGCATCTTGAAGGTCATCTTGGCCGTCTTGGAGGCCTCTTGGGCAAGCTTTGGGCGATCTTTGGGGCTTTTTGGGCCGTCTCGGGCCAGCTTCGAGCCAACTTCGGCCATCTTGGTGGGTTCCTGGCACGTCTGAAGCCGTCGGAAGCCGTTTGGGGGGCCTCTATGGGCCGACTTGGGGCCCGCTTGGAATGCTCCAGGGCCGTCTTGGAGGCCATCTTGGGCGTCTGGGAGGCCATCTTGGGCGTGTTGGAGGCCTCTTGGGCCCTCTTGGGGCCCTCTAGGGGCCATCTTGGAGGCCACTTGGGCCATCATGGGGCTCTCTTGGGGGCCTCTTGGGCGATCTTGGGGGCTTCTTGGGCCGTCTCGAGCCGTCGGAGAGCCGAAAA